CATGATAACTTACTAAATAGATCTCTTAATAAAATATAGGGTCTGAGCTTAGATACACTTGTAGATCCACCCCCGAAAGCATTGGGTTAAGTTAAACTTGTGCACAACCTATCCTATATATCCTAAATCCGCATTTGACACCTATATTATTGATTTCAAAAAAACAAAATTAAAAAGAGAAACAAATACTATAGGATTATGATTTTATATAACTTTTCAAGTTCTTTTTTCTTCAAGTTTGCTCACAAAATTATTTTGTACCGCAAAATAAGAAAAAAATGCATCATCTCCTGGAATCCATATGCAAATTGCTCACATATTCCAACACGACATTAAACCTGTAATGACCTGACCGGTAGTTTTGAGCATTACAACCTCATTCCACCATTTACTGCTCAATTTATGCCTTACATTTGTTATGTGACTTGCCGGGGGTAATTGGTTCGGGTCTAGTGAGGTTTTGGAATACTTAGTTCCAAGGTTTAGAATTTAAGTTGAAAGATTGACCGGATGTTGACTTATGTGTAATGACCCCGGAGAATATTTTCTAAGACAATTAAGGTTTTGTGGTGCCGAGGTAGATCAATTAGTATAAAGGTTATACAAATTTTTCGCGGGTCGGACTTTTTGGGTTGAATAATGCACTGGGGAGTAAACGAAATTTGTGGCAGAAAAAATGCGTTTATGCGGACCGCAAAATGGCCGCAGAGTGAGGCAGTTAAGGGACCGTTTTGGATTCCATTTTGCGGTCGACTATGCGACCATAGAACTGTTCTGTGGTTCATTATGTGACCGCAAAACAGGTCTGCGGGCCGCATAGTGACCGCAAACCCAGGCAGGTGTTTCCCAGTTCTGGAGGTCAATTTTGCGGCCGATATGCGGACCGCATATCCAATCCGTGGTCACATATGCGACCACATATCCTATCCGGAGCTTCATTTTTTGGGTTTTTATAACCCGATCCAACTTCGATTCATAGCTCTTGAAGCTCATTTTGGAGCAAAAATCTGACATTTTTAGAGAGAAGGGAGAGTATTCTAAAGAGAGGAAGAAGCTCATGTACATTGTTCATCAAGATCTTGTTCAAGCTTTGAAATCCAACAAGGAAATATCACAAGATATTCACCTAAAATGTAAGGTTCTAACCCCTAATCTTCAATTTCGAGTTTGGGTAAAGATGGGCGATTAAGAGTATGATTCTTGGGTGTAAGAGTATTATTTAGACGTATCAATAAGGTTTATTGAAAGAGTGTCGAGTTCAAATGGGTAAAGATTGGGTTGAAAATGGTATAAATCTTCAAAGACTTTAATTGAAGATTTGAGGGTCGAGTTGATGTCGGAATTTGGTGAAATTTGTATGGTTAGACTCGTGGTTGGATGGCCGTTCATATTTTGTAACTTTTGTCGGGTTCCAAGACGTGGGCCCCACAGGCGATTTTTTGAGTTAATTTCGAATTTTATTGGAAAATTAGTATTTTCTTATAAAATTAATTATAATAATTGGTATTGACTGAATCGAATTAATTGTGGCAAGATACGAGGCTTTTGGAGACCAATTCTCGTGGCAAGGGCATGGCAGAATAAAGAATTATACGGGTTGAGATAAGTAACAGTTTTCCGCTAGAGGTTGCTGTTGGTGGTTAATCGTTAGTAATAGATAGAGTAGCGGTTAAGAGTCACATTGACAACAATGCTTAAAATTATTAACTTTACACTTTATATTTTACTGTTTCTAATGACATACCTTTATATCTACGAAAATTGACATGTTTAAGACCACAATCTCGTTTCTTTTTTAAACTTCATCACCAATCAAACAGGACTACCACATAAAATAAAATTGCAGTATAAAAGAGGATCTGGTCCAAAAAGATAACTCTCAACCAAGAAAAAACTAAACTAGAACTAATCAAGATCAATAGGAAAGCTAAGAATCCATTAACAAAGTTCATACCATGACTATGTATAGAATTATATGTGTATTTTAAAAGTTTGGTTTTACCTCTGCAATCAGTCCATTGAGAGCCCTGACCATAGGCTCCAACAGGAAGCAAGAAGCTTTGCTAAAGCGATCTTCATTTTTTCTGCCCATCACAGTCAATACCATACGCCCACCTTTCACCAATTCTATTGAGCGTAACTTGAGAAAATTTACAAAATCTCTTTCATATTGCTCGCAATATGCTTCAATCACATCTAGTGGGCTTATATATATACTTTATATTTTAATTGCCTTTGAGTAATGTGAAAATTGTCTTCGTGTGACCTATAGGTCACGGGATCGAGTTGTGGAAGCAGTCACACTAATGCTTGCATTAGAATAGGTTGTCTACATCACACCCCTAGGAATGCGGGTCTTTCCCGAACCCTGCGTTAATACAGAATGCTTTGTGTACGGGCTACCCTTTATTATTTTAATTTATCAATTTTGAAATGTAAGACAAGATAACTTACTAAATAGATCCCTTAATAAAATATAGGGTCTGAGCTTAGCTACACTTGTAGCTCCACCCCTGAAAGCAAAGGGTTAAGTTAAACTTATGCACAACCTATCCTATATATCCTAAATCCGCATTTGACACCTATATTATTGATTTCAAAAAAACAATATTATAAAAAGAAACAAATACTATAGGATTATGATTTTATATAAATTTTCAAGTTCTTTTTCTTCAAGTTTGCTCACAAAATTATTTTGTACCGCAAAATAAGAAAAATTGCATCATCATCTCCTAGAATCCATATGCAAATTGCTCACATACTCCAACACGACATTAAAGCAGGTTGAGGTCTAGGGTTTGAGTAACGCCGTCACCCATTATATAAAAAAACTACATGCTGGGATCATCAAAAAGCTCGCTTGTTCGAAAGAGCTTCAGATTGGATTCAACACTACATACAATATTCCATTCTGGTCCTCACTAGCTCTTTGCTTGAATTAAGCTCGCACGTCAGGAGTGTGTTAAAAATATAATTAAATAAATAAATATACTCTTTTTAATATTTTAAACTTGTAGATGAGATGAATGCATTACTACTTAACAATACAAAAACATACTTTGGAAAGCCAGTGGAGACTGTAAGAGGAGTGAACAAAGTGCAGACTCTTGGATCAAAGCAATTAGGATCAAATATTCCATCATCTCCCATATTCTGTCTCCTCAAATCTTCATGGAATTCTGGCAACGAGCGGAAAATGGTATTAAAATCATTCCCAGGAAGATCATTCAAGAAAATTTGAAATTCCAGCGTTTGTTGTTGGCCGTTGCTTTTGCATTCTTCTACGAAACATACATAATGTTTATATATACAAAAAATATACATTTTTGAGGTATTATATATTTTGAGAGTGGCTATACAGTGTCAACTTTTCATTATTTGACCTTTTTCAACACAATTTCAAAAACCTTTTTTTTAAGTTTCAACAAAATTTATGTCCAAACGCTAGTTAAGTAAAAGGAAATAAGTCTAAGCTTTATGTACCGATAAGATAAGAAATACTATCAGATCACTTAAATGATAACTATACGTTTTACACTGTACCTTTTACACTATCAGTATATATAAGTAAAATTCATAAGAACTTGTTATTTATAATTGTTGCGAGTTTATAACTCCATTAGGAATAAAAAGGTGTTTGATGATACCTGGAGCTTAGAGTTTTTTGCATAGCTTGTGTCTCCAATTCCTCCATTCATGTGAAGTATTTTAGCAACTTCCATCTCTCCTTCTCTTGCTAATTGGATATTTTTGTGTTAAATTAGGTATTTATAGATGGGTGAAACCAAATTTATCCTTTGAATTTCCATCATTGTCCTCGCGAGCCAACTGAGAAAATATTGTACACTATGGGTGTGTTTGGTATGAAATATTTTTTAATTTTTCCATATTTTATTGACTTAGATATTTTGGAAAATATTTTCCTCGTGAACTCATTTTTCTCCAATTGGAGAAAAATGTTCTCCCTATCAAGAGAAGGGAAAATATTTTTCAAACAAGAAAAATAAGTAATAAAATCACTCATTCTCCAGGAAAGACATATAAAGATCAAGGACTAGAATCGTTAAGGGTAACTAGCCTATTTTCCTATTTGTGTACCTTAATTATAAGTATTATGACTTGATCAAACCTATTAAAACTAGTAGAAATGACACTAGATAGCCACTTTAAAAGGCTGCTATTTAGGAATTAGCAAGTATATCCTGAATTTTAGTTTTTCAGTTTAATTTTTCGAGACACAAATATCTCCAATTGTCTAAAAGTTAAGATTTTTAGATGAAAATTTTAGGACAAAATAAGCCATGCGATCGCGGCCTCCTTCTTCGCGATCGCCAGCCCTCCTTCTTCACGATCGCGGTTAACAAAGCTTGGCATAAATATAACCCCCATCCCTCCCCCACCCCCCACACAGACAAAGAGGGGGAGGGGGGGAGATTTTTATCATATATTTAGAAAATCATGATTTTGCAATGACTCATCGAGAAAAATCATATCACGTTTTTTAGTGTCATCACATCTTGGCTTGTACCATCACGTATTGGGTCCATGAATTGAATTTGGATAATATTTAATTTTATCGGGTGTTTATACTATATCAATAAATATATCACAGGTATTTGTAAATAAAATTTTCTCACTCAGTTATGGTTAAGAAATCATAGCACGTTTGTTTTAGTGTCATCACATCTTGGCTTGTACCATCACGTGTTGGGTCCATGAATTGAATTTGGACAACCATTTACTTACAACTGATGACACATCAATAAATATATGTTTAAGAAATATATGTTTTCACCAAATTGTAAATAAATTTCTCTTACTTAATTATGGTTAAGAAATATATGTTTTCACCAAATAGAATCACTTACCCATGGTAAATTGGTACAATTTGGTGTAAACACTCGGTGCGAATAAGTTTATCATAGAATTTGCGAGTCAATCAAGTTGAGGAGGTTCACTTAGTGAGGTCAATCCCGGTAATAGCACGAGCTAGTTATTGTTTAGTCTGTAATTATTGAAAATAGCCACTATCATTTATTTTAGATTTGTAACTACAAAACACTGAATCGAAATTGCAGAAGACTTGGAAAAGTTAAGAGACATGGAAATATCTGGGAAAATGAGAGAGTCCACCAACAGCATGGAAGCAGTAATGGCAAGTCTAACTCTTCATCTGGTAGTTTGTACTCTTATGAAAGATAGAGTTATATGCATGCATATGAAAGTTCACTTTGTACTCTTCATCTAGTAGTTTCACTTTGAAATTAGTAAACTATAGTTGGAAAAGCACCTATTAGAAGAAGAAACATAGAGAACATAGTGCAAATTGGGACAGTCTTAGGAATACATGACTCAATTTATATCAGCTACTCAAGAATTATTTCAAATGGTATGTTGTCAAACTATTCTTGTAACGACCCGACTTGTCATTTTAAGAATTAACGCCCCGTTCAACGACTTAAGGTCTCGGGCAACTTCATAATATGTATTATGACCCGCGGGTGTGGTCGAGTTTCATAATTGAAAGAAAAATTCTCATTTTGAAGCTTAAATGGAAAGAGTTGACTTTTGAGCAAACGGCCTCAAAATAGAATTTTGATGATGTCAATAGTTTCGTATGGTGATTTTGGACTTAGGCGCATGTTCGGATTTGGATTTGGAAGTCCGTAGGACAATTCGACGCATTTTGGCGAAAGTTGGAAAATAGACGTTATTCGGAAAGTTCGATCGAAGGTTTAATTTTTGATAATGAGGTCGGAATCTGATTCTGAAAATTGGAATAGGTCCGTTATGTCACTTATGACTTGTGTGCAAAATTTGTGGTCAATCGGACTTGATTCGATAGGTTTCGGCATCGAATATTGAAGTTGGAAATTTCATAATCGACTAAAGTTTCAGGTGAGTTTGCATAAAACCAAAATTCAAACGAGCATACCTCTCTTGATATGATGATTTATATGGTTTGTTACCTATCAGAAGAAAGGTCTATGTGTCTAGTTTCCAACGCTTTAAACCGTTCCTCATTTGGACATTCCTACAAGAAGTTATGACCAAATTACCAAAAGCTGCCAGAATGCGATTCTGCGACCATTATGCGATCTCAAAATGGTTTTGCGACCGCAAAATGGTCCAGAACAGCCCAGTTCTGGGCATCGATTTATGCGATCATTTTGCGACCCGCACACCAATTGTGTGGTCCATTGTGCGACAGCATAACTGAGTTTAGAGGGTTAAGTTTCCTATTTTCATAATTCGACCCCATTTTGATAAATATGCTTTGAGATTTATTTTGGGGCAATTATCTGAGGTTTTTTAGAGAGAAGTGAGAGTGTTCTAGAGAAAGAAAGTGGATGAAGTATTTTGTTGTGATGACCCGCCTTGATTTGCGTACGCAGTCCGGACAGGTTTTCGGAAAGCTTTTATGTTGAAAACTAATGAAAATAAGATTTTTTGCCTTAAAAGTTGATTTTAGTTGACTTCGGTCAATATTTTTGGTATATGGGCCCGGATCCATGCGTTGACGGTCCAGGTAGGTCCGTATCGAATTATGGGACCTGGGCGTATGCCCGGAATTGAATTCGGAGGTCCCTAGCTTGAGTTATGAATTTCTGATGAAAATTAAAAGTCTGGAAATTATTTGTTTTTAAGAATTGATTGATATTTGGCATTGTTAGTATCAGGTTCGTATTCTGGTTCCGGAGCCTGGTACAGGTTCATTATGATATTTAAGACTTGTCTGTAAAATTTGGTGAGAAACGGAGTTGGTTTGACGTAATTCGGACGTCCAATTGAAAAGATATGAATTTTAAAGTGTTCTTGAGAATTTCATTTGATTTGGTGCTAAATTCATAGTTCTAGGTGTTATTTTGGCGATTTGATCACGCGAGCAAGTTCGTATGATTTTTTTAGACTTGTGTGCATGTTTGGTTTGGAGCCCTGACGGCTCGGGTGAGTTTCTGATAAGCCACGGGATGTTTTGAACTTAGAAATTTTGCTGGTATAACTGAACCTGTTGCAGGCCTCTGATATCGCAATTGCGAGATCAGGCATCGCAAATGCGAACATAACAGGGTCCGCAATTGCGAGGCTTTCATCGCAATTGCGATCAGAAGCCTGCGCCAGCAGTTCTTGCATTTGCGAGGTTACCTTCGCAATTGCGAAGGGAGTCTGGGAAGGGCAGGTTCGCAAATGCGAATATTTACTCGCATTTGCGAGGTTCAGTGGTTGTAAATGCGACACTTTCCTCGCATTTGTGAAGGCAGCGGGATTGTGAAGGGCATCGCAATTGCGATTGTTCCTTCGCATTTGCGAAGCTCAGGTCGCAATTGCGACACCTGCAGCGGAGTAAAAGGGGCTTAGACGGGATTTTTCATTCATTCTTCATATTTTCAAAACCCTAAACCTTAAGAGGCGATTTGCCAAAGACCAAATCTTCCCCAAATCATAGGTGAGTGATTCCTAACTCTTTTCTTTCAATCTTTTACATCTTATAACAAGATTTAAACCTAGAATCTAGAATTGTTATGGTGAAATTAGGATTTTTGGGTAGAAGTTAGGAATTTAGAAATTTGAGGATTTAGACCTCAATTTGAGGTCGGATTCCAAAACTAATTACATATTCGGGCTCGGGGGTGAATGGGTAAAAGAATTTTGGTCCGAACCTCGGGTTTTGACCAAGCAGGCCCGAGGTCGATTTTTCAACCTTTTGGAGAAAAATTTGGAAAATTTAATTTATGAAATATAATTGATTCCTTTAGCAATATTTGATGTTATTGAGTCATTTTTGAATAGATACGAGTGTTTTAGAGGTGAATTCCAAAGGAAATGTTGTGATTGAGAATTTAGCGGTCTTCGGAGCAAGGTAAGTGTTGTGTCTAACTTTGTCTTGAGGGAATAGGTATTGTGTGAGTAATTGCTACGTGTTTTGTTGTTGAATACGATGTATAGTTGAGGTGACGAGTATCTATGCGTTGTGGTCGAGTCATAGCATGCGAGTGAAATTCCATTCTTGCAAATTTGTAGTCTTAAATCTTGTTATCCATGCTTATTGATGTTGTTGAAATATTGGGAGACTTGTATTCGTTTCCACTAAGGTTGATAAAATTGTGAATATTGATTCGAGGTTGAGATGTTAAATTGTGAAAGTAATTATTGATGAAATATTGATTTCTTTGTGAAACTTCTCTCTATCCGTTGTTATTGATTCTGTGAATTGTGAGGAAGAGTATAAAGCACGAAGGGTGATGCCGTGCGTGAGTTATTTATATGGTGAGGAAGAGTGTAAAGTACGAAGGGTGATGCCGTGCATGTATTATTTATATTGTGAGGAAGAGTGTAAAGCACGAAGGGTGATGCTGTGTATATTAGGAGAGGTTTAAAGCACGAAGGGTGATTCCGTGTATATTATGAGAGGTTTAAAACACGAAGGTTAATGCCGTGTATATTATGAGAGGTTTAATGCACGAAGGGTGATGTCGTGCCTTTCTATTTATTTATTTGGTGAGGTTGAGAGTAAAAGCACGAAGGGTGATGACGTGCAGTTTTCCTTGCTGTTTTAATTGCTCAATTCGTTTAAGGATTTTCGGTTTAATCCTGTCTTTTCTTTATTCTCACTCTTTATGTTATATTTCCCCCGTTGTATGTTCCCTTTCCATTATTTCTGCGTTATTTCTTTATTTACTGTTGTTGCCACTAGTATGATTATACTGTTCAGGTTATATGTGGGTGTCTTGTCCTAGCCTCGTCACTACTTCG